TGATTGGAAAATAAAATCCCTTTTCCAGGAGCAGATTTAAGATACCTCAAAATACGATACACTGCATCCAAATGAGGGGCACGAGGCTCATGCATAAATTGACTCACTATCCCAACCGCATAGGCAATATCTGGACGAGTGTGGGATAAATATATAAGTCTTCCAACAAGTCGCTGGTACCTTTCCTTCTCCACAAGATCACCAACACCACTACAAAGATGGTGATTAGCCTCAATTGGAGAATCAGCAGGTCGGCAGCCTAACATGCCAGTTTCCTCAAGAAGATCTAGAATATACTTTCGCTGAGAAAGAAAGATGCCTTTGTCAGATCTGGCAACTTCAATCCCAAGAAAGTACCGCAATGAACCAAGGTCTTTGATCTCAAATTCCTTGGCCAACAGCATCTTAAGATGTGTCACTTCTTCCTCATCATTACCTGTCACAACTATGTCATCCACATACACTATAAGCACAGTTACCTTATTTGCGTGACGTTTGACAAACATTGTGTGATCTGCATTGCTTTGCTTATACCCGAACCTCAACATAGCCTTTAGGAATCTGTCAAACCAAGCCCGAGGAGATTGTTTTAAACCATATAATGCCTTTTTCAACCTACAAACTTTCCCAACTGTAGACTGAGATGAGAATCCTGGTGGTATATCCATATATACCTCCTCCTCCAAATCACCATGGAGAAATGCATTCTTCACGTCTAACTGCTGCAAAGGCCATCCCAAATTAGCTGCACATGAGAGAATAGCTCGAATGGAATTCATCTTCGCCACAGGAGCAAAGGTTTCTTGGTAATCAATTCCATATGTCTGAGTAAATCCCTTGGCCACTAACCGTGCTTTGTACCGTTCAATTGTTCCATCTGCTTTCTGCTTGATGGTGAACACCCATTTACACCCTACAGGCTTTTTTCCACTAGGAAGAGAAACCAACTCCCAAGTGTTATTCTTGCTTAGAGCTTGCATCTCTTCTACCATAGCTACTTTCCACTTAGGATCATTGATAGCTTCTGTCCAACCCTGGGGAATACAGGCAGAAGACAAAGACGAAACAAAAGCACGATATGTAGAAGACAATGAATCGTATGACACAAATTTAGAAATGGGGTGTCGAGTACATGCCCTAACCCCCTTTCTAAGAGCAATAGGAAGACTCGAATCATTGACAACAGGACTCTCAATTACAGGTAGAGGGATAGACTGAGATGCATTACCTGGAACTGGCATGAGGGATGATGATGGGTTTGGTGGCACAAGAGATGCTTGCTCTTTCGGACGTCGAGAATAAGTCTTAAAATCAGCCCTGTCCAAACGACCACTAATGTCAGGCTCCACATCAAGAGAACTATTAGGCTCCCCCTCACCACAAATAATAGTCCGCTGACTAGGAAGGAAAAAAGACAACCCGTGTTGATAGGCCATCTCCTCATCCGCAATCTCATCCATACCACTACTCTCCCCCGGAGGAGATGACGGAGCAGAAGGAAAAAAGGACACAGCTTCACGGAAAGTGACATCCATACTGACATACACTTTGCGAGTGTGAGGATCATAACATTTGTAACCCTTCTGAGTAGCAGAATAACCAATAAAGACACAACGCACAGCCTTAGGATCGAGTTTCCCACGAGTACGAGGTTGCAAATGAACAAAACAGACACACCCAAACACCCGAGGAGGAAGAGACGAGGTGGGATATGCGACAGGAAGCAGTTGAAGAGGAATCTGGAATTGGAGGACACTGGAAGGCATACGGTTGATAAGGTAAGCAGCGGTAAGAACAGCATCACCCCAAAAAGACTTAGGGACATTCATGGTAAACAAGAGAGAGCGAGCAACTTCAAGAAGATGGCCATTCTTGCGTTCGGCAACCCCATTCTGTTGAGGAGTACCAACACAACTAGTCTGATAAAGAATGCCATGCTCCTCTAAGTATGCCCGACTTAGGAACGTTCATGGTAAACAAGAGTGAGCGAGCAACCTCAAGGAAGTGGCCATTCTTGCGTTTGGCAACTCCATTCTGTTCAGGAGTGCCAACACAACTAGTCTGATAAAGAATGCCATGCTCCTCGAGGTATTCTCTGAAAGCTCCATTAACATATTTAGGCCAAGTTTGGCATCCTCCAAAAAATCCAAAAAGTCAAAAAGTCACTATCCTATTTAAGTCACATCACCTCTCTAACACATCACTTCAAACCCAACCCAAATCCAACCCATATTTCATAAAAAGTCAAAAAGTGCACTTATTTAGTTTTCCCAAACTTGGCCTTAGTTCTATTATCACTCCAAAGAATTTTGATAGTAGTATTGAAGAGATTGAATACCATTTTATGAAAACTTTTGAAGCACGAGAAAACTTCATTTTTAGTGCGAAGTAAATGAATCCAAGTCACACGGGAATGACAATCAATAAATGTGACAAACCACCAATAACTAGAGATAGAAACCACAGGGAAAGGACCCATACATCGGGTATGAATAAGTATAAAAGGAAAAGTACTTCGTTTACTAATTAAAGGATAACGAGTACGTTTATGCTTAGCAAGCTCACAAGCATCACAAACAAAGTTATTCCTAGGACAATCTCGAACTAATGAAGGAAAAAGTTTCTCTAATTTACTAAAGGAAGGATGCCCCAAACGGCGATGCCACTGATGAAGAAGATGAAAGGAGGAGCCAGAAGTGCATTGAAGAGCTTGAGAGGATAAAGTTGATGCAGGAGGAATGGCATCCAGAAAGTACAGTCCACCTTGTGCTCTACCATTGCCAATCATTTTCCCCGTAGCCAGTTCCTGAAAGACACAATGAGTCGGAAAAAAGGTCACAGAGCAATTGAGAGCAGTAGTAAGGTTACTAACAGAAAGTAAGTTAGTGGAAAAATTAGGAACATGAAGAACAGATGAAAGCAAAAGTAAAGAGATGCAATGAACATAACCCTTGCCGGAGATAGAAGATTAAGTGCCATCAGCCACTCTAATCTCGCCCAAAACTAGGTGAATAAGAATGGAAAAAAACTAGAAGTACTCGTCATGTGATTGGTAGCACCGGAATCAATGATCCAAGGAGACGACGGAGAGGTACTAAGTGCACTAGTAGAAATACTTGTGTGGCAAAGTTGAAAGAGGCAGAAGAGGAAAGAGCTAAGGTAGATGAAAAATCAAATCGAGCCATCAAATGTCTGAGAGTGTGAAGCTCATCCTGGCAAATAGAACCAGCATCATCCGAGGCACTAGCAGTAGTCTCAAAAACATGTGCTTGAGGACGAACACCACGACCACAACCTCAAGTAAGCCAACCATGCAACTTCTAACAGTGTTCTTTATCATGTTTATCTTTCCCACAATAATCACACTTCAACCAGTCTCGATCAACCAATGGACTCTTACTACCACCCTGAAGCTAACAAGGCAGAGTATCACGTGACTTGGGGCTGACAACCATCGCTGACGTGTAACTCATCCTGGGAAAGAGTGTTGGGCTCAGAAGGACTCACAGCAATCTCGGACACATGTGCTTGGGGTCGAGCTGTACTACCACGACCCCGACCCCGAGTAGGGCGACCATTCAGTTTCCAACAATGCTCTCGATCATGTCTGTCTTCAAGCGATCTCGATCAACCAGTGTACCCTGACTCCCAGACTGAACTGGACTAGGCCGAGGAGCCCGAGGAGGAGGAGCAACAGCTAAAGCAGAACGATCCTGAATAGAGGAATGTACCATAGCACTACGGCGACTCTCCTCTTGCTGGACAAGGGCATAAGCCTCGCGTAGGGTGGGAAAAGGTGAACGACCCAACACCTGGACGCGAATCTGATCATACTCCAAGTTCAAGCCAGCAAGGAAGTCATACACACGCTCTTTCTCAACGGTTTGTTGAAACAACGGGGCATCCCGAGAACAAACAGCCTGGAAGCTTTGGGAATAGTCTAGTTCCTGCCACAAACTACTCAACTCAGCATAGTAGACTGCGAGTGATCTATCTTTCTGATCTAAGCTCCGAAGCTTCTTCCTCAACTCATACGCCTGTGCATCATTACCTTGTTGGGAGGACATTTGGGCTGCAGCTGTCCAAATCTTATGAGCAGTATCTAATAAAAGGAAACTCCGACTAATAGTGGGCTGCATAGAGTTGATGAGCCAAGTCATAACAAGAGCATTTTCAGAAATCCATTGAGTATGGAGTGAGGCATCACCATCCGGTAGGGGAAGAGAACCAGTAATGTAGCCAGTCAAACGGCGAGCAGCAATAGCAAGACCACATGAGCGGGACCAAATCAAATAGTTGGAACCATCCAATTTAACAGGACTAATTTGAAGAGAGGGATTGTCGGTAAGAGTCATAACACGACGGAGGCCACCCTCATCACTAATTGTATCCTTAGTCTCACCCTCAGCCATTGAAAATTAAATGCCCACAATAGGAAAAAAGCAAATACCAGTCGAAAAACAGCAAAAACCAACAGAGGCAATCCACCAACTCAACTTAGGGACAATAGTTACCTCTAGAGACAAAAACAGAGCCGAAACAGGGGCTGGAGAGACCAAAACCAGTCAGAAACTGAGAGAAAACGTGTTGAAACTGAGGAAAATTGACAAAAATTGAGTGAAAGCTTGCCAAATCATCAAAACCAGTCCTCCCAACCCTAGATCAGTCCCAGTCGGCTCCCAAGGTAGAGGGAGGAAGGGAAAAAACAGCCAAAAACAGGCCGCAGCAGGTGCTTCCAAAAAAATCAATCGTTTTTTCCAAAAATCAACAAAAAATTGGAAAAACACTCAAAAACTCATCAAAAAATTAAAATAAAAATCTAGGGTGAAAACCCATCAAATTTCGACCATAAAGGATTTTTTTTTTTTTTTTTTTTTCGGTTTTTTTTTTTTTTTTTTTTTTCTGATTTTTTCTGTGTACAAGGAAGAACGAAAGAAACAAGAAAAAGAAACGAATCTTCAAGAAGGAAGATGATGCTCTGATACCATGTTAGATTTGCATAAAAGAAAGAAAAGGAAGAGAACTGTATATTATTCACACTCATAAACCTATTAGGGTTACACATACTTATAATAAAAGACTAAAGGAACAAAAGACATAACTATCCTTAACTACCCTTATACAATAATACTTAACAACAACACCTACCATTTAGTCCGTAAATGCCGAAGTATTATATTCAAACAGATACCAACCTTAAATGGGGCATAATTACCATGCCAGGCTACCACATTGAATGGTGAGAAATCCTGTTTTGCAGTGAAAAGTTCACCACCAAACTTCTGTACAATGGTATATCCCGGACGGGGGCTATCTTCAAACCAGGCTGTGGGAACAAGGAAATCCCGTGAAGCAGCGAGACCATTAGCACCTACACAATAGAGAAAGAAAATTTAGGATTTATATGACTCTTGAGTTTTAAATGCTCAGTAAGATAACCTGATATAATATGTTTTGAAAAAAATAGTGTAGTCACTTGCTAGGAAGCACGGATACGGATACGGGATACGGATACGATACGATACGGATACGGCGATACGACAAAATTTGAAAAACTAGGATACGGGTACGGCGGGGATACGTTCGTAAAAAATATTATTTTAACAATTTTTAGTAATGCAGTATGCATAAAAATAAAACCTAAAGCAAAAGACAACTTGATAAAGAAGAAAGATTCCTATAAAACTAAGAGTCTTCAAGGTTAATAGCTTCAACTTGTACCCCTTCATCATTGAATATCACAAGACCTTAGCTAAAGTCAAAAAACCATTCTTAAATAAAAATTTCAGCAAATATACTTTTTTAAGTCATCAATGATAGCCTAGGAAACACGGATACGAATATGGTGATATGGGGATGTGAATATAGCGATATGTCAAAATTTGAAAAACTACGATACGGGTACAGCGGGGATACATTCATAATTTCTTTTTTTTATATAATTTTAATAATGTAATATGCATGAAAATAAAAATAAACAAACAAACAAACAAGCAATAAAACAAGTAAAAAGAGTCAAGAAACCACAGCAATAGATCTACCGCACCTGTATTTATTGATGGATCACTATGATCGAACAGAACAGTATTATACGGGCAGAACTTACTTAACTCATACTGCAAGGAATGGAATTTCATTCCATCAGTTCTACTGAGATATTAAATGAGTCCAAGACAACTTAGATGCAAAAAAGATGCATGGACAACTGTTAGATTTGCATAAAAGAAAGAAAAGGAAGAGAACTGTATATTATTCACACTCATAAACCTATTAGGGTTACACATACTTATAATAAAAGACTAAAGGAACAAAAGACATAACTATCCTTAACTACCCTTATATAATAATACTTAACACTCCCCCTCAAGTTGGTGTAAAGATATCTCTCATGCCCAACTTGCAGCAAATAGGATGGAAAACTCTGATACTTTTAAGAAGTATCTGATACGTATCCGCGAGTATCCGAGGAGTATCGGTATCCGATAAGTATCCGATACGGATACGTCACCCCTTTTGAAGTATCCGTGCTTCATAGGTCACTTGTAATCATGGCTTACAATAAAAATTATGTACCTATTGGCCCAAGATCAGGAAGTTGAAAATGGGTACCGAAAATCTCAGCAACATAACCACGTGATGGGCCATCTGGCAGGTCAACAACGAAACGAAATCCTTGAGGTAAAACAACAATCTCACCAGGAGACACTTGCAATCTTCCACATTCAGTTGTGATCCACAATCCTGTATAAAGAATAAGGGAAACTCTTTTCATACAGTTCTTTATATCATATATTACAAAGACACCAGTCTTGAAGGCAGAACTAGGAAATAGTTGAGGAGGATCATGGATGTGTTACAGACCAGAGAAAATGAAAGAAGAAAATTTAAGCAATTAACAGTTCTAGGAAATAATATAAGTTAGAGAGGAAATTGTGTTAAATGCACAGAAACTGTAATGGCAATAGGCTCAGTCAAAAATAGATCCCTGATAGAGGACAAAACAAAAATGACCCTCAGGCAGAAGCCAAATGATGAATGGGAATTTTTGTCAAAAGAATCCACTTAAAAGGAAATATCACATAAGGGACCTACGGATAGGTCTTAATAAATGGACTTATTGTCCAATAGGTGCTATGATAATTAATGACAATTTTCATCAAACACTATTAAAAAACATCACTAATTGTTAATTTTTAGCAACAGTTTGAAATGTAACAAAAAATGTCACTAATTACAAGTTTTAACGACAGTTTAAAAAAATCGTCACAAAAAAAGTTGCTAATTTCAACTTTCAGAGATAGTTTGAAAATTTTATCATAGAAAAATCTCACTAATTGTAAGTTTTAGCGATAATTTATAAAAACCATGACTAAAAAAAGTTACTCATTGTCAATTTTTAGCTACATATGCAAAAAATCATCGCAAAAAGTTATTTTTAACGGCGATTTTATTATGACTTCTTTTCAATAGGACTTGATGGGAATTAAATCCAACTATTAAGATCTATTGATAGTTTACCTGGAGAACTTACATGTAGGTCCTAATAGGTGGACTTATTGTCCAATAAGTCCTATAATATTTAATGGCGTTTTTCATCAAACACTATTAAAAAAACGTTATTAATTGTTATTTTTCAACGACAGTTTAAAAATTGTCACAAAAATATCACTAATTATAAGTTTCAGCGACAGTTTAAAAAAATCATCACAAAAAAAAAAATCACTAATTTTCAACTTTCAGCGACAATTTCAAAAATTCGTCACAGAAAAAGTCACTAATTGTAAATTTTGACGACAATTTATAAAAATCATAGACAAAAAAAAGTAGCTAATTGTTAATTTTTAGCAACATATGCAAAAAATCATCACAAAAATTTATTTATAGTGACAATTTTACAAGGACTTATTTTCAATAGGACTTTATGGGAATTAAGGCCCCGTTTGGAGACTTACATTTTTAGCTAATTAGCCAAAAAGTTACTAAATTAGTCAAAAAGCCAACAACTCATACCAAAAAGTCAAAGATTCAAGTTTTTTTTACCTACCTTTTTAACCAAATAGTCAAAAAGTTACTAAATTAGCCTGTTCCCAAACAAGGCCTAAGTTCAACTATTAGGACCTATTGGTAGTTTACCCATATCATAAAAATCATTGATTGCTTCTTAAACAACTGCAGTAAAGGAGAAATGTGTTCCCCTCACAAGTGACAAAGACCAAAATACTTCTACATTTTATTATATGCCTTTCAACAAAAGGCCACTTCCTAAGTCCTAAAAACCTAAGTGTGAAAAGTCTGAATTTCATATGTAAAACCAATTACTTAGATGACAAATACATTTTGGGGGTTAAATTGAAAGATGGCACCCATAAACCATAACTGCTTGAAAAAAGAAAGAAAGAAAAAAAGATGAGCATCGCTTACTTCCTTTTTGAGGAACAATCAAAAAGTCACCATCAGCATTGCAGAAGGCACAATTGTCCATTGATTTGTTGGCAGTGTACCTGCATTTCCACACATCAGTTGCATATTAAAAAGCAGATATATTCACATTCAACTACCACTGATCCAAATCTACATTTAAGAGCTTTACAAAAGATACATATTCAATTTCAAACTAGCCCATAGGTTCTTTGGAATTTGGATGTGTTTTAATCTGGTACATTCATAGATGAAAAACAACCTTTTGCATTCTTTGTATCCTCTCAGAAGAATAAAAAAAAGTATGCCCCTGCTATTATTACAAATATACAAATATATTTGCACATAATTTGGATTGGACATTTTTCATGAGCATTTCCAAACCAGTTTTTTTTGTCCACAAACATAAATCCAACTAGTAATTTCAAAAAATTGAAGTTTATATAAGATCATGGTCTCATGTTCCACTTCAACACTAACCAATCATGGTCACAGAAACTAGTCAACTACATATATACACAAACATACATACATGACTAAAAGAATCTGACAGTCCATCATTGACACTGGATCTTGTAGCTGTCAAGGTAGTATTTCCCAAGTCCCAAAATAAATCAACATAAAAGTCACTGATTTAAATAATGGTGACAAAAATTTTGGAAAAAAAAAAAAAAAAAAGCTCTCACTCCAAGTCCTCCTAAGCTATTGCCTTTGCGGAGGCATATCATTAGCACTTGAAATGTTTTTCCCATGTAGGGTGAGCTAAAGCCCAGTAGAAATAATCTAACACAGTATATAAATTTTAACAAAGCTATAAGGTGGATGCATATGCAATGCTCGTGCCAAAACATTTTTATATACCTCTTTTCAAAACTATGCAATGCAAAGTTGATGTCTCGATTCATAAAATCATTTATATCACAATAGAAAATACGATAGTGAATCACACTTTGGGAATTTTAAAACAAATGCAATATTTTTCAAAAATTTCGTCTGGAGGAAACCGTAAGTCGGGACCCATGTAAACGCAGGCTATGAAAGCACTACTATTGTCATTTCACGAAAATTTCATCTGCGGGATCGGCACCCATGTATACGCGCGATTTTCAGGACTTTCACCCAGGACACTCAAGCCAACTTAGTTCAACAATACAATTCATGTTTCCCAATTTCACCCTTTTTCTCAAAATGATAAACATTTTCAATGTATAAATGTGAAATAATGCTCAATACAAATAAATGAGAAAATAGTTTCAATTCTCCTAATTCACATGCGATTTCTACAACACTCATAGCTATCCTCCACCGATGGCCCAAAACAAATATTTCTAAATAGATAATTTATATTTCATAAAGATACACTTTCCAAATTTCCAAGAGGTGAGTGATAATACATATCCAACTCTACCATCCTTATCAATATCAATCCAATTTCATAATTTCAACATCAATTTCATTGCTTGTACAAAACCAACATTTGAGTTATTTAGTGTAAAATTCTTACTCTTTTCAAAACCAACCCCAAGTATCAAAATTAACCATTTCCACACAACTCAACATTATTTCCAACATCAAAACCATTTCCAAGAACCTATTTGAAAAACCCCTATTTGGATTTTTATCCAAAACCCTAGATTTGTTCAAATTCGCAATATGGTTTAGGAATGACAAATAACTAAGTTAAAACTCATAAAAAAGTGTGAAAAATATCCCTACCTCAAGTTAGAAGACAAGCAAGAGCAAGGGTGAAACTTCAGTGGAGTCAAAAATGAACTTTGCTCCGATCAAATGGTAGCTCTAGGTGAGCTCTACCTTTTTAACAAAGGGACTAGGGTGTAGAGATCAATGGACGATAGTGTATTGGAGGGTTAAAGATGAATTTTAGAGAGAAAGAGAGAGATATTGGGGTTTTGAAATGTTTAGAGAGTTGAAAAAGTGACTTAAAATGGGCTATTTACGAATTGATATACGCACAATTCGTTCGAGCGCAAGAGTTGTCGCTCGAGCGACCAGACACAATAAGTTGTTTCGCTCGAGTGCAGAATACACACTCCCAGTACTTTTGTAGACAGAGGTCGTTGCTCAAGCGCCGCAAGAATCTTCGCTCGAGCGAAGAATACAAAATCTCAATAGTTTTGCAGACCTACAAAAATACTGGGTGTTCGCGAAGACCGTTCGAGCGAAGGAATAAAAATCTGGGCAATCAAAAGTTTGAAAAACAAGTTACCAACCTATTCCAACCGCAATAAATACAACCCAATAGCCCAACTCAAGAAGAAATAGTGGAAAACAATGCAAGAACAACTATATAAGGAAAAGAAACCTGAATCCATAAGTCGAATGGGTCATTTTTAAACCAAAAATGCTATGTGATGAGTTACATACTCTTCGGCGTCTGATGGCTCTGCTTGATTCTTCTCCTGCTTCTGCTTCTGCTCCTGCTCCTACTTCTGATCATCTTTCCTCTAACTTTGCTTTTACAGGTACTCCTACACATGCTTTGAGTGTTGTCTCTTCCATCCCTTGGATTATTGACTCCAGTGCTATAGATCATATGATAGGTTTGTCCACCATTTTCCACTCCTACTTTCCTTGTTATGGCAAGGATAAAGTAAGAGTAGCTGATGGGTCTTTATCCTTTGTGTCTGGGACCGATTCTATTCATTATTCTCTCTATTTCTCTCTCCTCTGTTCTTCATGTTCCCAAATTTTCTTCTAATTTACTCTCTATCAGTCGAATTACCAATTCCTTAAATTGTTCTGTAACCTTTTTCCGCTCTCATTGTGTTTTTCTGGAATTGGGTACACGGAGAACAATTGGCAGTGGTAAAGTACATGGGGGATTGTATTTTATAGAGGGTGAATCTTTTGTTACCATCCAAGCTCTTCAGACAACCAGCACATTATCTCTTTCTCTATTACATCAGTGGCATCAGTGTTTAGGCCATCCCTCTATTTCAGTTTTGTAGAAATTTTGTCTTAGTTTAGTGAAGGATTGTGATAGAAATCATTTTCATTGTGATGTTTGTAATTTGCTAAACATAAACGAACTTGTTAGCCTTCAATTAATAAAAGAAGTTTGTTTCCATTTATGGTTATTCATTCTGATTTATGGGGTCCCTCTCGTATTATGTCTGTGTTTGGTTATCGTTGGTTTGTCACTTTTATTGACTGTCATTCTCGTGTCACTTTAGGTTTTCTTACTATTTTGCACCAAAAGTGAGGTCTTTTCTTGCTTTCAAACATTTCATAAGATGGTCCGTACTCAGTTTGTAACCGAAATTAAATTCATTCGGAGCGATAATGGTACTGAGTACATTGATGGTGAATTTCGCACATACCTTGAGGGGCATGGTATTCTTTATCAAACCAGTTGTGTTGGTACTCCCGAATAGAAGGGTTTTACTGAATGCAAAAATCATCATCTTCTTGAGGTTGCTCGTGCCCTTATGTTCACAATGCGGGTACCTAAACCATTATGGGGTGATGCTATTCTCACCCCCGCGTATCTCGTTAACCGCATGCCTTCTAGTGTCCTCTAGTTTCAGCACTCCCTTACCTTCCTCCTTCCCATGTCTGTACCCCCTCATTCCCTTCCTCCTAAGGTGTTTGGTTATGTTTGCTTTGTTCACATTTCTCGTTCTACTCGGAGCAAACTGGACCCCAAGGCTCTTCAGTATGTCTTCATTGGTTGCTCCTCCACCCAGAAAGGTTACAAGTGCTATGATTCTCTCTCTCACAAAACTTATGTTATCATGGATGTCACCTTTTGTGAGTCTGAGCCGTTCTTCGAGGCCCAATCTCTTCAAGTGGAGGTTCCTTCAATGGAAGAGATGGTTTTTTCTTATCCATTGTTTTCTACTATTTGTTATGAGGGAGGAGAGGTGCCGCCGTATTGTGAGAAGGATCTGAGTAACTGTGTTCAGGAAGAGTCTAGTAGGTTGGATAGACCTGAGCTTTAGACCTACTCTCGGAGACAAAGAAAACAGTTGACCTGTGTGCCGCCGTGTCAATCATCACCTCCGACCCCAGTACCTAATTCTTTATGGAATCCTTAGGTAATGAGTTGTTGGTTACCTCTCATACTATTCCTATTAATGATTTAAATCTTCCTATTGCTGTTAGAAAAGGTGTTAGAACTTGTACTCAACATCCTATTTCTAAATTTGTGCCATATGATTCCTTGTTTACATCATATCATGCTTTTGTTTCGTCTTTGTGTTCTGTCTCAAATTCTTCAGAATCAGAATGAAGCATTCACTGATCCTAAGTGGAAAGAAGCTATGGCAGAGGAGATGAGAGCTCTGAGCAAGAATGACACTTGAGAGTCGGTTTCTCTACCATCGGGTAAAACACCTGTCGGTTGCAAATGGGTGTTTACAATCAAGCAGAAGGCCTATGGGATTATTGACAGATATAAGGCGAGACTGGTTGTTAAAGGGTTTACTCAAACATATGGCATTGATTATCAGGAGACTTTTGTTCCAGTGGCTAAAATGAATTCTATTCATGTCCTTCTTTCATGTGCCGCAAATCTGGGTTGGCCATTACAGTAGCTTGATGTAAAGAATGCTTTTCTCCATGGTAATCTAGAAGAAGAAGTGTACATGGATGTTCCTTCAGGTTTCTCTTCTTCAGTCACTGAAGGGAGTGTTTGTTGATTAAAGAAGACTTGGTATGGATTGAAACAATATCTTAGAGCCTGGTTTGATAGGTTTCCTAAGGCGACGCTTAGATTTGGGTACAAGCAAAATCATGCTAATCATACTATGTTCATCAAAATATGTGGAGATAAAATTGTTATTCTTATTGTCTATGTGGATGACATAGTGGTGATTGGTAACAATGTAGAGGAGATGTGACAAATCAAGGCTCAACTTTCCAAGGAGTTTGAAATCAAAGATCTTAGCTCTTTGTGACATTTTCTTGGGATTAAGATTGCTAAATCGGATAATGGCGTCCTTATTTCCCAAAGAAAGTACATCTTGGATCTACTTGAGAAAGTAGGTATGTTGAGATGTAGACCAGCAGATTCTCCTATTGAGGTCAATCACAGACTTAGCAACAGTGGTGGAGATTGTACAAATAAAGGAAGGTATCAGAGACTTATAGGGAGGTTAATATATCTTTCTTATACTAGGCCAGATATTGCATATGTAGTTGGTGTTGTAAGTCAATTCATGCATGATCCTCGAATAGGGGATTTGGATGCAATTGATCGGATCCTTAGGTATCTCAAATCCGTACTTGGAAAAAGAATCTTGTTCTCTAATCATGGTCATTTGAAAATAGAGGCTTTCACTAATGCAAATTGGGCTAGTGCAGTTGATAATAGGCGGTCTACTTCGGGTTATTCCACTTTTGTAGATGGTAATTTGGTGACTTGGCGGAGTAAGAAGCAAGTTGTTGTGGCTAGATCAAGTGCAGAAGCGAAGTACCGGGTAATGGCAAATGGCATCTGTGGTGAGCTCCTGTGGCTTCAAGTGTTATTGGCTGACTTAGGATTGTTGAATGGTGGACCAATGCGGTTGTATTGTGATAATAAGGCTGCTATTAGCATCGCTCATAGTCCTGTCCAGCATGATAGGACCAAACTCATTGAGATTGACATACATTTTATCAATGGGCAAATAAGTAGTGGTGTGATTTGTATGCCTTTTATGCAATCTGAACATTAGTTAGCCGATGTTTTTACTTAAGGGTTTGGTAGCAAGGTCTTTCATCCCATTGTGTACAAGTTGGGTATGAGAGATATTTATGCACCAACTTGAGGGGGAGTGTTAAGTTAGATAAAGGGTATTTTTTTTTCTTTATGTACTTATTGCTCCTAGTATAAATACATAGTGTCATAGAGGGAAACCCTAAGATGAGGTTTTATGCTCTTCGTAGTTATCTCTCTCTCTCTCTCTCTCTCTCTCTCTCTCTCTCTCTCTTTTATTTTCCTATTCTCCTCTCACTCTCAAACTTGTTCTTATAATTTCAACTGAAACCATCATTAAAATGAATAATATAATTGTGCTTTTAGATATGAATTTGAAATAAACAGATTTCACATCACTCATTTGAGGAATATATGCTTAATTCAATGTATTTTTTTTTTTTTTATTTAGATATTCTAATAATGGATTTTATGGTTTTAGATTATATAAAATAATATCCTATCTCCTTCTTCCCTTTCCCTAGTAGACACCTCCTCACTAGCCTAGGGTGAGTAAGCAAGGCTTGGACCCCCAGAATTTGGCCCAAAGTAGAGCTCCAAATTTGGGGAGAGTTATGGGGCCAGTCCAACAACTTAATACCCACTAGGTCCTAACCCCAAATCATAACCATGTTTTTCCAATTTTACCCTTAGCCCAAAACTCACTATCTAGCAACTTGCCTGCTCCCAGCAACACTATTATATCTTTCTCTCCCTCTGCCAGCAACCATCTCCGGTCACCGATACCTCTGGTCATTGGCGATCACCTAAGGTGTTGGCGATCGCCTCCGACGATATTTTATTGAATTGTTTCAACAAAAATAATATCTATCACCACTACATCACTGCTGCCACCATCTCCACCACTCAATTACTCAGTCATATTTAGACACACTTTCATCAGTGATAATAGATTTTTTTTAAATTACAAATAAATTTGAATCATTCACCCTTAATCATGTTCACCCACTTATTTACAATAATCCACACAGACACAATAAACAATAGAGACTGATAAATTTATCGTCGAAAAAATAATGAATCCATCATAGATCAATACAAAATCAACAAAAATTAATGATACATTCAGTGATAAATTTGTCACTGAACACAACTGGATACTGATAAATTTATTACTAAATTTTTTTACAGCAAATCTGTTTTTAAGAGAGAGAGAGAGAGAGAGAGGAGGAAAATAAGGATGAGGAAGAGAAGAAGTAAGATATGAAAACATAGTGTTGTTTGGAGTCATTTGGAGTTGATTTCACCATTGAAACAACTAGATCAATGAAGATCTATAGCTAAATCGATGGATCGGCGACAATAGAGTGAAGATAGGAGATGTAGAGTGTAGACCGGTGATGGTTGATGTAGTTGGTGTACAAGGTGGTGGATTCATGACGGTGGAGTGTAGATCGATGGTGGTTGCGAATGGACGACGATGGTGACGAGTGGAAGATGATGGTGGCGATGGTGGCGATGGTTCAACGATGACTGTAGTTGTTGTCATGGCGACGTTGATGGCAACGGAGAAGAACGGTGGAGATGGTTGGTAAACAATGGTGGTGGCAGTGGTTGATGACGGTGGCCATAGTGGGTGAACAACCAATGCGACGGTGGTGGTGCGGCGATCAAACTCTTTATAGAAATGGCAGAAAGAGATAAGTCTTCTCTATGTGAAAGAGAGAGAGAGTCTGCACAAATGGTGGAGGAAGAGAGAACAAAAGATTGTTTAGGGCAACACAAAACACTCAATGATAAAACAGGAAAAGAAATAGATGGGCTAGAACTTATGTGTACATAAGATTCTAAGTCAGAACCTAATGGGTAATAAAATCCAAAAACAGGACCAGCTGGTAGATAACCCAATGCATTAGTACCTTATACAATATTATTCAAATAAACCTAATAAACATTGGGGCCCATTTTTTTTTTTATTAAGCGAAATATTTTATTTAACAAAATTAATTGAAAAAATTAAAATTCTTAACTGCTCTCATACAATACTAAAATTATGTGAATTAACTAATAAAATAAAATTGAGAATACTTATAATTTTCCAATCACAAGGGGAATTCGTATTTTAAGAAAATTTTAAAAGATGTATTTGTAATTTATCAATTTTTTTTTTTTATTAATTGAGGCCTAGTCTAAAGGGCCCCTAAAAAAATTCTTGTACCAGCAACGAACAATTTTTTATTTTTTCATATATGTGTTGTTGGGCCAAATTGAATATATATATTGAATAAATCTTTCCTTTGATCAACAATGTTAAAAGAATTATTGAATGGATTAGTTATATTATTTATTGAAAAAGATTTGGTAAATAATTAGATTATGCAAATTTAATTAGTGATTTTGCCGCTAAAATGTGATAGTTAAGTCAATTGTAAACTAAATATTGCTAAATTATAAAAAAACAGCATCAAATTTTTATCTTTTTGACTCTTTGCAATGATTTCTTTTTATCTTAATATATGGAAGTAAATTTTAATTTATAATTTTAACATTTATTTGTGCAAGTAATTTTTTTTTGTGACTACTAACAAATTAAAAAATTATTAGTACTTATCATTTTATCTATAAAATTTTTACAAAAAAAGTAGGGTAAAATATAAATACCTCTTGAGGTTTGCTTAAAATATAGATTGTCCCTGTGGTTTAGAAAATTACAAATATCCCATTGCCAAAAAAAATTTATTTAACAGAATTAATTAAAAAAATGAAATTTCTAATTGCTCTCTTATTCAATAATAGAATTACCTGAATTATTAATTGAAATAAATTTATGACACCATTAGATCTTGTTAATTGGCTTGATGATTTATTAATAAAATGCACAATTTGTTATGAAATTAGAAACTTCAAGAGATAGCTTGTAATTTTCAAAACCACAAGAGGCAATCTATATTTTAAGCAAACTTCATGGAATATATTTGTAATTTACCCAAAAAAGTATATGTAAGAGGGCCTCATTTCATAGTTTGCCTAAGATCTCATAAATCTCAAGGCTGGTCCTACCTCTACCTCTACCTCCCTAAGCCACCCTGATCTCTCTCTCTCTCTCTCTCTCTCTCTCTCTGTATATATGATAAACCTATTTTGTTTTTAGGTGAGCTTTCCCCAGATAAAGTAGAGGAAATTTATAAGTTCGCCTCTAATCTGTCAAAATATTTTGTTTTCAAAATATTAATAAAGCAAAAATTAATTAATTTAAGTTTGATATTTTAATAGAAAGCATTCTTGTTAACCTTATTCTTTCTCAATGTTAACAGTATTGAAGAAATAGAAAAGTGTATTCAATAAAATGTATCTTTACAATACAATGAGATGTCTATATGTAGGCGAGGAAGAGTGGTCACCAAGAAAGCTAACAATAGAAATATCCTAATATGGTAAAACCTAATTACAGTATCTAATATATATAGTGAATATAATATATATATGTACAATATTCACTAACAGTCTCCCTCAAACTTAAGGTGGTTGCAAAGAGACCAACTAGAGTTTGGAAAGAGAAAATAAAATAAAATAAAACTAATAATGCTTGAAGACAATTTATGATTGTGCATGACTGTTGTAGGAATAACCGAAACTAATGTCGGAAGATAGTTTATGGTCATACTAGACCGTTGTAGGAGCAACTGGAGCTAATGTCAGAAGGCAGTTTATGATTGTACCGGACCATTGTAGGAATTGAGTGTGCCGGGGCAACTTAAGACAGAATGCGATGGGGGCTGACTTAGGTAGTGTGCCAAGGGGTAGCTTAGGTGGTGGTGCGCTAAGGAGGTGACTTGGGTGGTGCGCCAAGTGATAGCTTGGGTGGTTCGCATAGTGTATCACTTTGCTCACCATGATATAAGTATATTACCCCCTCAACATCAAGCTCAAATAGGTTTGAAGATATAAATCAATTTGAGGTCGAAATATAGGGAATGACAGAGTGGAGCAGAAGAAAGAGAGAGATCATATTCTAAAACAAAAAAATTGTAGAAAGGAATTTTCATTTTAATAGTGGGACAAGCTTGTGTGATTGAGTTGAAAAACATATTGTTTTGTTTGAATAGAAAGAGTATACCTGAGAGGAAGAGGATTTTGGATGAGATATATATATATATATATAGAGAGAGAGAGAGAGAGAGAGAGAGAGAATTTTGGATGGGTTTAATTAAAAAATTGTGGATTTGGGAGAGTGTTTAGGATGGGTTTGATTAAAAAAATGAGAGTGTAGATTAGAGAGCGGTAAATCCGAGAGAGGGAGAGGAAAGATCTTGAATGTGGGCTGGTGGTTGAGCAACGGTGAAGGATGGGGGCGATGGGCCGGAACTGCCGGCGTGATGGCTGGAATTGTAGCTGGCGTGATGGAATAGACGTCCAAGGTGGAGGCAATGGCTGGAGTTGCAGTGAGTAATGGCGGTGATGGTCGGAGAAAGAGACGAATGTGTGGCTGTGAGATACTCAGGTTCAAGCACTGAGGGGTTTGGGATGCAAGGATAACAGATAGGACCTAGATCCAGCGAGCGGCCAAGGAAAGGTTGTCGCCCACTAGTAAGGAGAAGAACACCAAGAACTTAACCTATAGTTCTAATACCATGTTAACAATATTGAAGAAATAGAAAAGTGTACTAAATGATGTCTCTGTTTACAATACAACGAGAGGCCTATATATAATCAAGTAAGAGTGGTCACCAAGAAAGCTATCAATAAAAATATTCTAATATGGTAAAATTTAATTACAGTATCAAATATATATTTTTTTATCAGTAAAGAAAAGACTTGATTGATGAAGAAGTAAAATTACAAGCATAACTTACATCAACAAAGGACAGAAGTGCACAAAGTATCATAGCTATAGTCGACAATCCCAATTAGATTGACATTGAAAAGCAAATACAATCTTATACTAGCACTTGACCCAAGAATTGAAGAGGGACTAATCAAAGGAAAAACAAAACACAAACAAACAACGACAAACATAGATCCCACTATATCATTTTACTTGCTCATATTTACTTAAATTGTCAAAATTCTGATTTACATTGTAAAACGTGTTTGGAGGCCAATATTTTATTAAAGTCAAAAATATATTCTATTTTTTCTTGTTAACCTTATCTTGCTATGAAATGACAAAATCAAAGATTTTCAAGTATAGTGAGCTTGCATTACAAAACGTGTATAAGTTCATTTTTTAGACTTATTTTTTAAATCCAATGATATGTAAGTAATATAATTGATTGATAATAAGAGAAGATATGAGAAAGAATGTTACCTTAGATGTCTTAATTGATTGTCACATAATTGAACTTAAAAAGTGGGTCTAATTTTTGAACTTGTATAATAATGCTCTAATTTTATAGTTTTTCAAGAAAATAATTTTAATTTAAAAAACAATGAAATTCACTCAAGATCATGATTAAGTGGTTAGCAACTTCATCATCTAAACCACACTCGACACAAATAGAATCGAAAATTCTGCTATGTTATTTTCTCATTAAATGAATGATATTTAATGGATTTTTTTAATGGAAATAAAATATGTTGTGTTTAACTATATTTGTAACCCTCTGAATGGACTTTGTAGGTTAAGTTAATTACCATTGAGAAATTGGTGATCTCTGGAATCGATAACGTGATAGAGATATGGCCTAGGGAACTTCAACTTATAGTGGGAGCGATGTTAATTTCGCATTGTCGTAAGCTATTGAATATTCTTAAGGGCATGCAGAGTATTGAACGACTTGTGGTGGGATGCTGTCAATCTGTGGAAGTAGTATTTGATCCAGATATCGTGCTCCCGTCATTAACATATTTGGCCCTAGTTTATCTACCAAAGTTGACACATGTTTGGAAGAACAACGTACTAAGAATTCCAAGCTTTCAGAACCTGACATCCTTAACAGTAGTGGGTTGTAACAGTTTGAGATATATATTCTCATCTTCTCAAGCCAAACTTCTTGTGAAACTACAAGAAATAGGTGTAGCTGAATGTTGTGTGCTGGAAGCGATTGTTAATGAGGAACCAAAAGTAGATGATGAAGTTGCAACAAATATAATCTTGTTTCCTCAACTAAATAGTCTCAAACTCTGTCATCTGCCAAACCTCAAGAGTATATGTCCCCAAGCTTACACATTTGAAGGATCATTCATCCAGCACATAAAAGTAATCAACTGTCCCAACATGAGGGCAATCCCTTCAGCATCGCAGCGCAATGTTCGAGAAGTGGAATTTGTTAACTCAGCTCAACACCATCTCTTGGATACAAAGGTAAGTGAGTTGTCTTAAAATTATAGTATTCAACATTAACAACCCATTCTTTCAAAGAAAATATTTCCAATATCCATTAAACTAAGGATAAACCTCTAAATGTTTGAAGAGGAAAGAATTGTTGGGTACAAAAAGTCAAGGAGAATAAACTCTTTAGCATTGATGCGGTCAAAGATTTTGTCAAGAAAATTAATCCATTCTTTAAAATAAAATAAAATAAAATAATTAGACAACTTTTTGGGATTATTACATCCCAGTGGATGTCAGAAGGAAAAAAAAAAAAAAAGGTTTGTGAAAAAGAAATTTATAATTTTGATTATTAATATTTATAAAGTTTCTCACTAATTTGTAATTATTTTTTCAAAACTCTACTGATATGATATTTTCCCTAATTTTTTTTCTAGAATGATGTAATGGTGGTATTTTTTGTAATTAAATGTCATTTTAATGGGCACATGATTTTAAAAGGATAAGTCTTGGTGCAACCACATCATTCTATATACAAATGTTATATGTTTTTTCTGTTTGTATATCATTATTCTTTTGTCAATTGTTTCCAGCTCCCAAATAAATGGTGTTAACACTAAGGGAGTGTTTGTTTGGAAGGACTAGATAGGGGCGGATTACAATACAATAAATTGTTAGTCCTAAATAATTAGTCCCTTAACTATTTTGTTCGAAATGATGTGTATTTGACTATTAATCTGATCTTCATTTTTTAACCAAACAATGGATTAGTAAATATGTCACTAACACAATTGAAGTGATAACAATTGCAGTTTAGTTTAAGCACCAAGGGAATGCTTGATGTCACAGGAATAGATGAGCCAACTGAGATATGGCACAATCAACTTGAAGTCGGATGCCTTGACAAAGTAAGATTCATGCGGGTCCAGTGTTGTGGAAAATTATCTAGTGTTGTCTCGTCCAAGTTAATGCAAAGGCTGCACAATATACAACGGCTAAAAGTGTGGTGGTGTGATTCACTGGAAATGATATTTGATCTCCAAGAGGGGGTATGTGTTGATGTTGCTGAGAAAGAAACATTAATCACTCAGTTAAGTGAATTGATATTGAAGTATTTGCCCAAGTTGACACGCATATGGAAGAATATTTCCCGACAAACTCATTGTTTCGAAAATCTACGATTTCTAACAGTGCAGCACTGTGACAACCTGAGATATATATTCACAATTTCCATGGCCAACGTTCTTGTGAATCTACGAAATCTAACAGTTGAACATTGCGAGAAGGTAGAAAAGATTGTCACCGGGGAAAACTATGAAATCTTCTCGCGAATAATTTTCTCTGTCAAACTTAAAAATCTTCCAAGTCTCGTGTGTTTTGGCCCGGATGTAAATAATACTGAAATTCCAGCAAGAATAACCTCTGTAAGACTCTGCCCCAAATTTCCAGGTAAAACTCCAATTATGTATTTGCAAGTTTTCGACGAACTCAAGAAGGCAACTTCACCACTCAATTTTTTAGCTATACATACACATCTTACAGCTAAGAAAAAAGTAGTTATGATAAGGTAGTATTTGATTTATTGAAATAAAATATTGAAACTAAATAATCATTTCTTAACCTTTTTACGAAATGATCTTTCTTTTACCATAGTAAATAATAATTCTATTTATAATATATTTTATATTATATTTTTAGTACACCAAATATGAAAATATATGTTCTAATGGAATGACCATTCTATTTCATTTAATTCCAAAGAATAATTACAATTAGGTGCTTATAATATTCTATACAATCTCTCACATTACTAATGCATATGGTTAAACTTTAGGGAAAATTACATACAATTAGGTGCTTATAAGTTTGCAAAATGATAATATTTATTTATTTTTTAATTATTATTTTTATTTTATTTTATTTTTGATAAAGTTAGGAAATTAGCAAGTTAGTAATTAGATTAGGGTTAATTGCACTTTTGACTCTTGTAGTTTAACCCAAGTTTCACTTTGGCCCTTATGATTTCAAATTGAACAGTTTGGTGTCTATACTTCAAATCTAGTTTTAGTTTGGTTCTTCTATTCAAGCTAGAAGTTAAAATTAACAATTTTAGAATGTACATATAGAAAAAATTAACAAAAATTTGGATGAGGACCAAAATAAAATTTGAGTCAAATTATAAAAGTGAAATAAAATTAACTTCTAAAAATATTTCCACAAGGTAAATACTAATCAGTCAGTAACTTTTTAATTTTTTACGAAAAGATGTGCTGAAAAATAAAGAGTGATGCGACAATTTATAATGGCATTTTGACTTCTTGACTAAAATGTTTAGTCTCCAAACAAGACCTAAACCTAACCACACAGCTACCTCACTAACAACCATGGTGTGTGCAGTACAGTAAAACTATAAATTTAGATTTATCATTTTATATACGCTACACAAATTTAATCTCAACTACACATTTGCATTCTAGGTAAATTTGGCATAGTTACGTGGGGTTCATATAATTATTGGTGTCCAACAACAAGGGAAATCCCTTCCTGGAAGTGGTGCAAGTATTTTTTAAATATATTTTTATAATAAATATTATGTAATTTTTTAATAAAATTACAATAGTTTGTGATTCAAAAATAAAATTAGGCATTTTTGTAATGTTTGACTTCATTTTTTAATATTAAACTCTCGTAATTCAATCAGAAAATTACGTAATAATTGTCACAAATTATCATAATATATACACACAAAAAATACGTAAAACAATGCATATGACACACACCCTATCCCATGCTTGAGATACAAATGATGTTAGCAGCAGTGAACTTTGTATTTAATAATTAATAGTATATATGTATTCTTAAGATGGGTCATACAATACACACCTATTTTTAGAGTGTGTAGTATATGAAAGTTATGATAATTGTGGTACTAATATTACAAATATCGTAATTAAATTACTTTTAGTCATAATTAAAATAAAAAAAACAATGGGTCATAACCAAAATCCACTTGAGACATAACTAAAGACCTCGTTGGTCATAATTAAAATAGTATCCACAATATGCCATAATCAACACCACAATAAACCAAATATCATTTGAGGTATAACTAAAAAGAATTCGATTATAACCAAAATAACAATTACAATAAGTTATAACTAAATCATAAACAATACTATAATGAATTATACCTAAATCATAATAAACATCGCTATTGATTATAACTAAGAACCACACATTCATAATTAAACATTTTGTTTTGAGCAAACTTCACTTTGCTCCCTGTGATTTGAGTACTATGTGGTTTACCTCTTAATATTTGGAAATAACCACATAACCCCAACATAGTTTGTCGACTAAAGTGTACCGTTAAACTTTCTATACAACTTAACAGCAAGTGTAAAATGTGTGGCAGACACAATAGCTATATGCTTATTTTCATATTTCAAGGTGGCAAATCGCACATGGAATAAAACACAAGGGATTAAAGTGCACTTACCTTTCAAACAAATGAAGAAAATATAAGGGTATTTTAGTCTTTTTATTAAATCATTAATGGGGTGGGTAACAATATTATACAAATAACATTTTACTTTACTATTGCCCCATCAGAGCCAAAGTTCTAGCTTCGGCCCTGCTTCAGATATGCTTCATGCCATCGCCAAATGTATACAGTGGGGGTGCTTGGTGTGGATTATAGGGGTGATTATAGCTTATTTTAATTTGAGAATTTGTGCCAGACTGTTTGACAAAGCTTCTGCTTACAATTTTTTAGGCAAAAATAGCTTAAATAAGCTGAGAAATGCTAATTATTTAAAAACTGGGGAAGGGGTGCTTTGATTTCTACTTTCTGATTATCAACTTTTAGCTTACAATAAGTTGCACCAAACACCCCCAGTATAGAAGATGTGGCTAGGTTCATTATTTTACAAACAAATTGATTTTTACTTCAACAATATTGCAAAATATTAACATTAGTTTCTCTTTAATTACTACATAGGCAACGAGGATGAAGTTGACTTTGGCTTTACTGGCATTGAGATTGACTCTAACTATAACTCTGACTTTGACATTGACGACGATGACAATTAACAACGTTGTCAGGTATTAACAATTGCAGATTATCAACTCTTTAGAGGAAAGGTTTTTGCATGCATATGTCCTATTGATACACACACACAAAATTGTCATTGCACAAAATTTTAGTTCTTCATGTTTTTACCAATTAACTTTATTTTTGAGGAATACTAAGCACAAAAATTTTATGGTAGTGTGTACTATATGCACTTTTAGCTACGATTTATGTGTCATTTGTTATGAACTATAGTGTTGTTAGTTATGACATATTGTGATAGTGGTTATGAGATTATTTTGCTTATGATCCAAGAGTTGTTTGGTTGTACTTCATGTGATGTTTGGTTATAACTCAAATTTTTTTTTTTTTTTTTAGTTATGACTCCTATGGTATTAAGTTATGCCATTTATGATAATCAAACTCACAAATAACATAACTTGCATATAGTTCCTTGCATCAATTAATGTTCTTTTTCCTATTTCAATATGTTCAGCTTTAAACATATCACAAAGGATTATCCAGTTCAAACATATGCTAAATGCAATCGTTCTTTTCACGAAAGAGGATGTAACTAGATTTTGCTTTGTTTTCTTTTTTCTTTTTTTTTTTTGTTATTTTCATACTCAATAACTAGCAAGTTGTAGGTTGGGGGGTGCGATTGAAGTCAAAATGTATACCATTCAGGCCTATAATTGAGATTTCTTAACCATTTTCTTGATGCAACTTTGTAAATTTTACTAGTGTTTGATGTGAATCTGGTTTGATGCATTTGAAGTACAAAATGAGCCAAAAGTGATATTTTAGTTGAAAAGCATGCACCGCACATGCAGAGGGTCATTACTACGCGTGTGGGCATTAATTTGTTTGCCTTTTCTTCTTAAGAGTTTATCTAAGAAGCTAAATGAATCTGATGTTGAAATAGAAGAAATTATAGATAGCGAAAAGGATATTAAGAATTTTGCTCAAAACAAAATATCATTAATACAACCAAAGGTCTTATATGGTAGAAAAGGAAAAATTCTTAATACAGGATTTTATAAGCACCAACGAGAACAAAGTATATCATGTTATGATGATAATGCTTTAATTCTCAAGCTTATAAATGAAGAATCAAAAGAGAAATTAAAAGCAATGAACTATCAATATATGCATATTGGTATGATTGTTTTAGGAATCAAAAGTATGATGAGAAGAGGAAGAAATGATAAAGTTTTCTTATATATTTTTGATGGTAGAGAATCTAATCCAGACAAAGCACCAATTGCTTTATATGAATTAGATTTGAGTGAACAAAAACTCTTAGTGTATTGTGCACCAGATATGTTTATGATAATCAAAGATTTCACTAAACATATAAAAATTGGTATACAAACAAAAGGTTTTGATACAATTATAGATGGAGATAATCTACATCTAAGCGTAGGATTTATAGGACGAATCTCATCATCAAGTCATGTTAGCTATAAGCTACAGATTGATGGTATTGTTCAACAATTATCAAGTGAAGGAGTAAGGATGATATCTCCAATGTCATTTGATAAAAAAGAAAATGAAGGTTTAGAATGGGACGTATCTAAATTCTTTCAAGAAACTCAAGTTAGAGGACCATCTAACTATAGTTTTTATAAAGGATTAGATAACAATGTGCAAATTAGATTTGATTCATATAGGCTTATGGGAACTCCAAAAGACTGGAATGAAGAAACCAGTGAGTATGGATTCGAATGAAGAATTAAGTGAATCAAAAATTAAGGAAATCCGAACTCTAGTTAGTATAATTCGAAGTGATTATACTAATAGAACTGAAAAGGTGATTGCATTAACAAAATGGTTAGGACAACCACAAAGGCAAAAGTATATAAATCAAGGAGCACCAGGAAAAATTTCAACTATTGCAGAAGTAGGAATAAATCTTGTAACAGTTGAAGGACTCCAGCTACTTGAAGAAAACTTGAAATATTATGATGTAATCAAAGCAAATGAATACATCTATATTCAAGAAGGAATTCTTAAAATTGGAAAACCATTAGAACAAGAGGTTGATATGGTTAGACAATTTTATGAAGAAAAATTAGCTAAAGAAAGGATAGACTTTCAATTCAGAATAGATAGGCTACAGCAAGAAATTAATGAATTGAAACAAAGGATAAGGAATATTGATGTACTAGAAGAACAAGTTTTAGAAATCAAGGATGATCTAAAACAATCTCCTAGTAAAACTAGTATAGAAATTACATCAAAGGTTGACGAATATCTAGAAGAGCTAGATGTTACTGACCAAACTTTGAAAAATTCTACAATTGTTTGTACTTATTGTCATTCTGATGACCATGATACAAAACATTGTTTAGAAAGGAAGAAAAAGACTAAGAATATTGATTATGTATTCTTAGACACACAGGTTGAATCAGTAGAAGGTCTTAGTGAACAAGGTCATAAAGAATCTTCTAAGGAATCCGAATCTTTGAGAAATTTGGATGAAGAAATCCAAAGTTTAGGCAAAGATTTCATGAATGAAGAAATAGGAGAAATAGGCTCTGAATCAGGTTATAATGATTATATGGCAAAGGTAGAACCAGTAGACTATAGAACAATTGAAGGAGACTACCCAGGTACGTCTGCTACTCCGTTCCATAGAGTAATACCTAGACCATCAGGCTCACATAGACAAGGTAATTTTCCAGGAACATAAGTTCAATTTGAAGAGTTATGGCCATTACCCTGTAACTATCATGGTACTGTAGGAAGTAATGTCAGATTTAGGACTCAAAAATTTGAACAACCGATAACATTCCAAAATAGATTTGCTGAGGCAAATGTATTAAATCTTGCGGCCCAAGATCCACAAGATTGGGATAATATTATCACTGTTTGGAAAGGATTAGTCAATAGAGCATATACTATGAACATAGTTCAAAGTGGTGAAACAATGGACACTGAGGATATGTTCAGGTATTTGGAAACATTTTTAGGAGAATCAGTTAAGGTAATTTGGGAAGATTTTCAAGCTAATTGTCCAGCTGATTACAATATGTTGGTAAGTTTAGGAAATAATCCTTATAATTTCTTAAACAAAATACATATGTTATGCACAGGACAAGACCCAAATTCAGGAGCAGTAAATCTTCAAGTCCATAGTGTTAATCTTTTAGAGAAATTAAGTTTAAAAGATTACAGTAGGATTAAAGATTTTAGCAAAACATTTTTAATGTTAGCAGCTAGGTCAAGGTTAATGTATGATCAAGCTACAGGTGATAAATATTTTAGGAAACTACCAGGAACCATAGGTAAAGAAATCCAAGAAAGATGGAAAAATTCACCAGGAGTAACGCAATATCCAGGAACTTCGTGGACAATTGCACAAAGAATAACATTCGCAATGTCTGTACTTAAGGAGAAATGCAGTCAATTGAAAATATTAAGAGAACTAAAAAATAGTGAAACAGGATTTTGTCAAGATATTCATATTCCAATGGCTGAATATGGAGCAAATCCTAAAAGACGACAATCTTTTAGAAGACAAAAACCTAAACCACAACCAATGCGATCATTTAGTCAGAAATGGTTAAATAATAGTCGACCACCTAGGAAAGAATATAATATTAGAAGATCTAATGCTAGGAAACCAACATTAGATAAAAATAGACATGTTAGGACATATGATGACAAGCGCACATATAAAGGAAAGCTAAATTGTTATGTATGTGGCAATACAGACCATTTAGCAAGAACTTGTCCTAAGAAGGAATATCAACATGATAGGAAAAGCATTTTAGTTAATAATACTCATTTAGATATCTTAGAAATTGATGAAAATGTCTCTGACACTGAATCAATTTGGAGTATTGTTACCTATAATATTTTTGATGATAATTTAGACACTCAACAACATTCAGATGTGTCAAGTGAACTAGAAAGTCATCCAGAAGATAAACAATTAGACTTAATAGACGAGTTTGCAGGACAACTCCCTATTAATCTAGAATATATGAATATACAAATACAAGAATGTAGTCATACTTGGGATTTGTATAAAGGATGTGATGAAACTCAATGTTTTATTTGTAAACAATGGCCAGCTAAGTTCTTAAGAGCTAAGTGTAGTCAATGTTTCAAATTAGGATGTATTAAGTGTATTAATACAAAATATTCCATAAACATTGAACAAGAACATAAGAATATACAGGTTCAGAATTTTGGATTAAGAAAAAATGCTTACTACCAAAATTTAGAATATAGAGTAGAACAATTGGAAAATATTGTATCCCAACTCACAAATGAGCAACCCAGAGGATTTAGACCCCAAAATCTTAGGTTTAACAACCCGGATGATTTAGGATCTAAGTTCTTAAACAAAGAAACTACTCTCCAAGGATATGATTTACAGGCTGTATCTTGTAATATGCTACAATACAGACCTCAAGAAGTATGTAATTCCTCACGGATTTCATCACTTCGCATTCCTTGTAGAATCAAATGTCATAATACCTATATTCATGCTATAGCTTTAGTAGACTCTGGTGCTACTACAACTGTTATGAATATCAATCTTATAAAAGATACTAGGTTAATCAGAAATATAGAAGATCTCGACTATCGAGCAGTTGATATGGGTAGTAATATTTTTCATTATACCCAGGCTCTTGTTTCAGATTGCTCAATTAGCTTCCAAACTAATTGTCATGCTTTGGAACAAGAATATCAACTTCCCTTAGTTCTATTACGAGAACTATCTTATATAGATCTTGTCTTAGGATTAAGCTTTCTTCTAGATTCTGCAGGCAGTATCACTATTACTAAAGATTATCTTATCTTTGGTAAACAATCTTTTATTGTTCCTCTCCAACCTACATCAGAGTTGCGAACGAAGCATGGTGTTACCCCTTATACCCCTTTTAAAACCCCTTCTTGCAAAATCTCCAAAACTCAAGAGGACAGTTCTGAGGATTGTACTTGTGATATTAAAGGATCATGTAAGAACCAAAATCATATGGCTGATTTTGAATTCTTACATCTA